GATGAGCCGTATTATATTATAAACTAAGAGAGAGGGATATAACTGGGAGATGACTCCATCATATGACTTCTGTATAAGCAACTCCCACAGCCATGTCTATTTAACCAACAGGGTTAGGGACTACAAGCCACTTAAAGGGCTGGCATCCCAAAACTTCTCTTTTTCTGCAAACAGATCACATTCATTTAGGGGATCGACAAGAGCCACTTCCACGTAGTGATCCCTGGTACTGTCTCTGATGGCCAAGAGCTCCTGAATCAATAAAAACACCAAAGCACACAAAGATGAAGATTTGGACACCATTTTTGTCATACAAAAGAACATTTATTCACATTCTTAGTATTCTAGCTTCGGCAGCTCTCAATTAGTCTCTGGGTAGGTTTTTTAATGTTTATGCACCTCCTTAGTGTTAGCTGAAGTTCAGTGTTTGCAGCTGAATTTGACTACTGTCACTCTGCCGCTTGTTTGGTTTAAGGTCCTGGAGCTTCTGTACTCTGCTCTCTTTCCTTATTCAGTGGAAGATGTTCTAGCAATTTTCTGCTTCTCTTAAGTCTGTCTCCAGTGACCTCCTATGAACAAGAAGTCACCTCTTGTGAACTACTGCCTTTTGTGCACATGTTTTGCCATCACAGATCTGTACATTATCATGGGATTGCAAAAGTGGCAAGTCATGCATCTCTCTGTCGTAGTACTCCTTCTGTTTGTTTCTTTCTTGTAGCCTTTAGAGAATTTGATCATTTGCACACACCCCATCTCTGCTCCGGGAGTTCGGTTCTGGTTCTCTGCTGAACAACAGTTCTGGTAGTGAGAACCCTTCTTACAAAGGCAGTGTTCTGTACTTCAGCAGAGCCTGGAAGAGATCTGGATTTGAGCTCTCAGCATTTTTAAGTAGCCAAGTTCTTTAAGATTTTAACACAATTTTCCACTAAGCTATGTGACTATAGATAAAATGGGCTAGAGAGAGTATGTTTGAAATTATAGTATTTGGCAAACCTTTTCAATTTGTAGGTATCAAATTGTGGTCCTTTATCAGTCATGATGACCACTTCAGGTATGCCTGGCAAATATTGATTTGATGTGTGTGATGACACATCTGGCCATTGAATTATCCAGTGTTGCAGTTTCCAGATAATGGGAATAATAGTCCAAAACAATACACAATCATGGTCTGAATACACAAAAAGATTGATGCTAACTTTGGACCATGGCTTTTGAGTTTTAGCTCTTACAAGCATAGGTTGCTTAATTTGACATTTTCTGTGTTTTTTGCGCAGGTATTGCACAGTCTGATAAACTGCTCTACCTCAGCGTTCATGTGGGGGTAGTATTCAGTTTTTCCTTGGCTTTTGCATATGTCTATTCCTATGTGTCCTTCATCCATCCGGCTCAACATTCCCTGTTACACGACTTCGGGAATAATCAATTTAGTACCTTTAAACAAAATTGTACAAGGAACATATGGTTGACCTTGAAAATGGTTGCATGGCCTAGGCAGGTGCTATGTAGGCTGTCCAGCATTCATGCACAGATTGTTTTCTGTAAAGTTTTATCCTGTGCTGTGGCCTCCACTATTACTAGCCGTGTATTATTTGACGCAGGGACTATCTTTATAAGCAAGTTTCAGATGCACTGTATCTGACTTCATACTGGGTATTTTAATTCTGTCATATGGTCTAGAAAGCATACCACAAAAAATTCCCAGGTTGTTATTTTAATTCCAAATCATATAGTTGTAACTGAAACAACAGTTTGTGATCTGGGAGGCATGTCATTTTTTAAAATAGTTACTAAAGGCTTGTGATAGATCTCTGCCACGCTGGTCTCCCATTATGAATACATTACATTCCTTACTGGTCCTGGGTATGACTGCAAACTGCATGACTGGAGGGTCTGAGGACAATGTGGTGGGGTAGCTCCTACAAAATACCACAGAGTTGCAACCTCCAGAATAAGGTAAGTATGGGCACCTCAAAACCCTAGCCCCCTGCCTTCTGGGTACTCCACTCCTTGGTTGGAGAAAGGCTAAGGGACATCACCATGACAGAAATGCACCCGCTCTGAGGTGCTAGGCAGTCACTAGTAGTTCTTATCTGTTGCTGTCTGGCATTGACTGTCTGGACTTGGTATGGGCTTTGGATTCTGTTTCAATGGTCCAATGCGGAGATGGTAGGTCTTGGGCAGCCCCCATACTCTTGTCCAGGCGAACATGTCAAGGTCTTGGTGTGATGGTCGCAGGACTCTGTACAAGCAGATTCATCATCTAACTAGACCTCTTACGTGAATACCATGATCCAGAGGATTGACTGCTGCCTACCACATTCTTTACATGCGTACACACTTGTGTTAGTTCCTCTTTTTTTAAGCTGAGCAATCTTTTGAAAGTGCTTTTGAGAAGGGGTTGGCAATTTATGTCACACGGGCTGAATCTAGCCCACAGAGCCATTGGATCTGCTTGTGGAGCTGGGGCTTTGGCAGCAGACCTTTTGCTTTCACTGTGTTACACGATGACACCCCTGGGCAGTGGGGAGCTTTCCCCTGTGCAACCGGGTCTGGGGCAGGATGGAGAGAAGCAGCAGTGGCAGCCGGGCCATAGCACCAGGGCACTATTCTGACCACCGCTGGTAAAGGTTGCTGCTTGCTACTCTGGAATGGTGGTTCTCACCCTTTTTTAGACTTGAGGCTGCCCTCTGGAAGTCCTGTGAATTGAGGGGCGCCCCATTTCATAAGCTACCTTATTTATTACAGTGCTTACTTCCTTGCAGAGGGACCATAGGAGCAGCCAGGCAGGGAGAGCCCTTGTCTGCTTATCTCCTCACCTTGCTGATCTTACCCAAGAAGTTCTTTTTTAAATACATAGGGGGTAAAAAGAAGGTACTGGGTAATGTGGGGCCTCTACAAGGCACGCTAGAAAATCTGGTCATCGCATCAGATGACAAAGCTAACCTATTTAACAATTTCTTTGCCTCCATTTTCCTGAGCAGGGACCGGGTCACCCCCTCCACCAGGACTCCCGTAGGTCCCAGGGGAGGTGCACCCAGACCTAGGGTCAGTGAGGATCTAGTCAGGGAACTTCTGGAGGGACTGGATGTATTTAAATCAGCTGGTCCAGACGATCTCCACCCCAGTGCTGAGGGAATTAGCAGAGGTCATTGCGGGAGGGACCCCTGGCACAGCTTTACAAGCACTCGTGGTGGTCTGGTGTGGTGCTGGAGGACAGGAAAAGGGCCAATGTGGTTCCCATTTTCAAAAAAAGGGAGGAAGGAGGACCCAGGGAACTATAGGCCAGTTAGTCTTACCTCGATCCTGGGTAAGCTTTTTGAGAGAATTATCCTGGTGCATGTCCACGAGGGGCCAGCAGGGGAGATTATGCTTAGGGGCAACCAACATGGGTTCATCAGCGGCAGGTCCTGTCGGACCAACCTGGTGGCTTTCTACGACCAGGTCACCAAATCCTTAGACACAGGGGTAGCAGTGGACATAGTCTTCCTGGACTTTCGGAGGCCCTTTGACACTGTCTCTCACCCCGTTCTCATTAAGAAACTGGGGGACTGTGGTGTCGACACCTACACAGTCAAATGGGTCGCCAACTGGCTGGAGGGCCGCACCCAGAGAGTGCTGGTGGACGGGTCATTTTCGACCTGGAGGGATGTGGGCAGTGGGGTCCCCCAGGCCTCAGTCCTCGGGCCTGCGCTGTTCAACATCTTCATCAGTGACTTGGACAAGGGGGTGAAAAGCACCCTGTTCAAATTTGCTGGTGACACTAAGATGTGGGGAGAAGTGGGCACACTAGAAGTGAGGAATGGGCTGCAATCAGACCTAGACAAGTTACAGGGATGGGCGGATGAGAATAGGATGGGATTCAACTCTGACAAGTGCAAGGTGATGCACCTGGGGAGGAAGAACCAGCACCATACCTACAGGCTGGGGAACTCCCTTCTTGTCAGTACAGAGGCAGAAGAGGATCTTGGAGTCATCGTTGATGCCAAGATGAACATGGGCTGGCAGTGTGGGGATGCAGTCAGGAAGGCCAACCGCACCTTGTCATGCATCCACAGATGCATCATGAGCAGGTCCAAGGAGGTGATCCACTCTCTCGATGCGACCAAATTAGCCAAAACTATTCCAAATCCATGAGTCCAGAACCGTTAGTTCTGGCAAACATCCTCCTCCACCCACACCTGGGCCTTCAGATGTTCCCAAAACCCTTGGCGGGCGTCCTACATGCCCAGGGGCTTGGGGGTCGGAGGCCCCCGGGGTTCTTCCCCTGGGCCATCAGGGCACAGGAGCAAGCAAGGCAGGAGACTCCCATTTCCACGTGCGCCTCGGCGGGTCCTGAACCGAGCTGGAAAAGCAGTTGTCCTGACAAGCGGTTCAGGAAACCTGCGCCGATACATTGTATCTCCCCTGCCGGGTTACGAAGCCGCTGAGCCTTCGAGGGGCAGAGATCAGCCTGACACTGATGCGGGTCAGCGCGGTTTCTGCCACGTCTGTCCCACACCGCTATTCATGACCATACTTTGCACGCTCACTTGCACGTCTTGAACCCTCAGCAGAACAGTGCGGAGTTTACCAGCGCCGGAAAAATAAAGGGGGGGGGGGACCCTATTTTGAAAAGGAGGCATTGCTTTTTGCAGCCCCGAGCTGCTCTCTGCGCCTTTAAGCGCCCGGCCCAGGAAGCGAACGAGCGGCAGCGCGGAAGTGCGCGCGGGGGACGCTGCGCCAGCTGCAATGGACCATGCGGCTGCTGCTGCCCGCCTGCGCCCGCGCGCTGCGGCTCCCGCTCCGGCTCCGCCCGGGGGCCCCGCGCCC